ATAATAATTAAATAAAATAAAACTAATACTATAAAATAATCTTGGGAACAACATAGAAATTTAAATGTGGACTGGATACTAGATGGTCTTTGGGAGCTACAATCCTCTGCACTCTGATAATGATCTTGTACAGGAAAGTATCCTTATTTGTTATGAGATGCATTGCTGAGTATTCAGGAGTGAAGCCTCAAGCAACCAGTACAAATGGTTCAGCAAAATATACAAATCACACATACTACATACACAAAATAAATATGGCAAAAAGTTCATGATCACTGAAGTTGTATGTATACAAGTGATCTTTGTACTTTTCTTAATATTTGAAATTTTTCATAATAAGATAAAGTTTGAAAGAAAAAAGAAAGGTAAGGTCAAATAATGGAGGGACTGTTATGAGCATCTTAGGATTTGGGATTTTACTGCTGAAGGTTGTGAACAGGTGAGTCACATGGCCATATTTACATTTTAGAAAGCTCACTGATGTACTGCATTCACTCAGCTAGCATTTAGTGATCATCTCCATCAAATGTGGCGTGAACCCTGAGCTAATGCTGTGGGAAACATGAAAATCAAAAAGGTACTGCCTGGCTGGAAAAGCACTGACTATGTAATAGAGGAGACAACACAAAACAGAAGGCTTTTGTCAGAAGAGGTAACTAGGAGACGGGGGAGGAAGGGAGATGCACAGGTATTATCTGGTGTTCTATGTCTGCCAAATTTTCTTGGAAAGGATAAACTATAGGTGACTGAAAACTGCCCATCAGCTCTAACCCCTTGAATTCTCCTTAATTCTTGATGGCAGGACCCCACTCCCATAAACGATACTGGAAAATGCCAGATTTCATTGAAAGAGGGTGCAGGAGTGTGACCAATTTCTGGCCCAAGGGACCTGACTTAGGGTTCCTAAAATCCACTGGGAACTACTGGCAGAGATTTTCTTTCCTAATAAACAAAAAAACCAGATAGGCGAGAAGGCTCCCTTTCCCTCCTTCCTTCCTGCCTCTGAGTGCAGTTGGTTGAGGATGTGATATTAGAAGCTGGGAAATCGTGAGAGAAAAGCCAAGAGAAAGGAAGCAGAGGTGCAGTCTCAGAGCCCTCACGTCACTGAGCCACTGACGCAAGCCTGCAGCTTCCCATTGCCAGGCTTCTTGTTAGGAAAGCAAAGTTTCCTCCTCTTTCCAAATCACTGAAATTTATGGCCAAAAACCCCACTCAGCTTCCATCTGCAGACAAGCTGTGTCGAGTCAATCCTAACCTCTCAACCATGCAACTGAAGGAAGCCTCGCCCACCACTCCGAGTCAAGTCAGTCTCACTCCTAGTTGAGCTCTGATGGCCTGCATACTACGGTTTGGATGGTAAAGAAGGTTCACATTCATAGGCTGACTGAGTGATTGGCAGTAACAGGCTAATGTGCTGTGCAGAGGGTTAAATACAGGTTCTGTGGAAAGGAGTGTCTAGATTCACAGTGCCAGACATCGGCCTGAGCTGCATGTTTACCACACCATGGACGAATGTGTGAAATCTGAAGCCCCAAGCTTGAGTCCTGGCTCTGCTACTTACTGGTTTTATGACTTTGGTCAAGTCAATTAACCTCTTTGAGTCTTCTTAGGGGATAGCTGTTATAATCAAGAAAATGTAAGTGCATGTGTTTTGTAAACCATGAAGTGTCACACAGATGGTAGCTATTCTGTCTTACATTTGTCATACCTTAGCGGAGAACCAGGTTATTGGAGGTGGAAAAGAAAGAATTCAAGGCTCAAGCCCTGGATGGCCAGTAACTGCATATCCAACAGGAGGGTGCTGACCTGGGGTAGAGATGGAGAACTAACACGCGGCCCAAGTCTCAGGTGAAAGTGAATCAGCAGAAGTGAGTTGTGAGCCTAAACAATTATGGTTAGAGAAGATTCCAAAAGCAGAGGTGACGATGTTAAGGGCACATAGAGATAGAAGCCAAGGACCAGATAGCCTGGGCTCTTCTGCTGCTGCCCCAGCACCTGCGGGATATGAGCCCACCCATGGGCTACACTGGCTTCCCCCAGCAAAGGACTTTTCTGAACCTTCAGAAGGGCAAATGAATTTGACAAAGTTTCCTACCTAGGTGATTCTAACATGGCCCCTAGAGCAGTGTCTCTTTCCTCTGTTGGAAATCACTAGAGTAGACTAGAGGAAAGGAGCCCCAAATCTAATAGACAGAAGCTGACAGAGATCTTTGGTAAGCTAAGGGTGGCAAGACTGTCTGTTTCTCTCCTCCCTCACCTATGGCATCGCACAAACCCACGATTCCAAAAAAGCCCAGGAGGTAAGAAGAAATCGGAAGGAGGTCTTTTGTAATAAAACTAAAAGCTGAGAAAAGGGCCAGGGACTCTAAGTACAACTAGAATGACCCCACAAGAGCCTCACCCTCCAGGTTACGAAGTCTGAGCAACTTGTGAAGTGTGACCTGAAGTCCAAAGGTGAGGGAGGCTTCCTTTAGCTCCCTCTTCAACCCACATGGATCTGAAGCACTCACCAGCAGGCAAAGGGAAAAAGGACTGACAGACAACCCCAAGCACAGGCTGAGAACAGGCTGAAACCTAGGAGGCAGAATAATTCTAAGTTGTATCTGTTCATAGCTCTACTGCCAGTGTCTAAAGACTGGTACACACAGGGGGGCAGAGAGCCCATGGCGAGGTGGTGAAACCCAGATCAAATAGGTTCTCCAAGAAGCTGAGCAAAGGTATCTCAAGGGGGGAACTGAGAAATGGAGGCCCTGCACCTGAAGAGAGCCTCCCCAGTTCATTGCCCAGGTGGACTACATGAGAATCTGGAGGAAGTTCAGGCCTGAAGAGGCTGCTCTCCATCCCTTCTGCACTCTGTATATCGGTTCACAGGAAAACTCTGGGTGTTTCAAATCTTGTTTTGGTTGATAACATTCAAAATGTGGAGATTCTACATAAAGGTACTACGGATAACTGAAGGCTATTCCTGCTTTTGGTCGAGAGCTATACTTGTGTGCATTCTTGAACCAGATTGCCTGAGTTCAAAGCCTGGTTCATTCATCACCAACATGAATCTGAACAATTTATCAATCTCTTTTTACCTCCATTTCCTCATTCTATCCCCGCTTGGGGATAATGCCACCTACCTCATAGGATTGCCATAAGGATTCAATAAATTAATCTTTGTAAAGCACCTACAACAGTGCCTGGCACATAATAAGCCTCAATAAAAATTAACTACCACAACATGCAAAGCAAATGTGTCACAAAAACACAACTTAAGATGTTTTGTTAAGGGATGATTTGTAGCCCCCCTCCTCCCACTACCACTAAATTCATACGAAGTCCTAATGCCCAATGTGACTGAAATTGGAAGCTTAAAGAAATGCCCTTCTGAAGGTTTAGAAAAGTCCTTCGCCAGGGGAAACCAGTGTAGCCCACAGGTGGGCTCATATCCCTCAGGTGCTGGAGCAGCAGCAGCAGTTGAGCCCAGGCTGTCTGGTCCTTGGTTATTCTATCTCTGTGTGCCCTTAGCAACTTCACTTCTGCTTTTGGAATCTTCTCCAATCATAATTCACTGTTTAGGCTCACAACTCACTTCTGCTGATTCACTTTCACCTGAGACTTGGGTCACGTGTTAGTTCTCCATCTCTACCCCAGGTCAGCACCCTCCAGTCGGGTGCCTCCCAATATGACTGAAATTGGAACTGGAGACAGGGTCTTTAAAAGGTAATCATAGTTAAATGAGATAACTAGGGTGGGCCCTAATTCAATATAAGTGGTATCCTTATAAGAAGTTAGGATACATACAGATGAAAGATCCTATGAAAACAGATAATAAACCCACCTACAACCCAAGGAAAGAGGCCCTCAGAAGAAACCAACCCCGCTGACACCTTGATCTTGAATTTTTAGCCTTCAGAACTGAGAAAATAAATTTCTGTTGTTTAGGTCACTCAGTCTGTGGTACTTTGTTATGGCAGTCCCAGAAAACTCATACAGATGTCCTTAAGAAAATAATTTGGATCACTTTACAAATTATCAACCTAGCCCTGAGGAATCTGAAAATAAACCATGATTCAAATTCTTTCATTCAGAGCCAAGCGTGGTGGTTCACACCTGTAACGCCAGCACTTTGGGAGGCAGAGGTGGGAGGATCACTTAAGGCCAGGAGTTCAAGACCAGCCTGGACAACACAGGAAGACTACCCACTATGCCCTGAACATTGCACATTTATTTATTCAAGCCCGTCATCATATAAGGCAATTTTATTTTGTCAGTTAACAACCCACATCTAATTTTGTCCAGTCATTTTCTGCTGGGCAGCTTTATGTGGCATTTGATTGTCTGCCGCTGCCTCTCCCAATTAACAGGAAATGATCCTTGTTATGGATCTGAAATGAAGAGCATCAAAGGACTTGGTTCTCAGTTCTGGCTAGACATCAGAATCAACAGAGAAGCTTTGAAAACATCTTTGCCTGTATCAACCCCTTGCCCCATTCTGACTTAGTTGGTCTTTGTGCAGCCCCCTAGCAGTATACTTTTTTAAGCTTCCCAGATAACTCTAGTATACAACCAATGTTGAACGTTACTCTAGTTTGAAAGGGCCTTCAAGGTCATCTCCTTTGAAACTCAAAGTGCAGTTTACAAACCAGCATTGTCATCACCTGGAAGCTTGTTAGAAATGCAGAATCTCAGGTTCACCCCAGATACTAAATCAGAATCTATACTTGCACAGGATTCCTCACACAATTTAGATGCACTCTAAAATTTGAGAAGCACCGAATTCCCACTAGAATCATCTGGAAAGCTTATTAAAAACAAACACCCTAGGCTTCCTCTCAAAACCACTGAGTCTCCATCTCTGGAAAGGCCAGGGAAGCAAAATTTTATGTATTTTTGTGTAGCTAGTCACCCAAGGATCTGGGGCTTAGAAATTCACTTATCTAGGCCAATGTATGTATCACATCTGCCCAGCCTTTGCTAACAACCTTCCAATTCTTTTTTGAAAATCAGAAATATAACAGAGATACAGGTTTTTATTTTTCCATAATGCATGCAAGCTTACAACTATTTATACGGTTTAGGAACACAGAAATAATTACATTATTACCAGGATGTCAAATTATTGAGTATGAAAACCAGTTACTGATTACTTTTGGGAGGTTATTTTCACAGAACACAGCAACAATTTCCAAATTATACTTCCCAGAGTTATGAGACCAGGACAACGTGATAATAATCCTAACGGTCACAAAAGTCTTCATGTTACACAGAAAAGACTGATATTCTGGTGAAGGGTCTCAATTAAATACCTTATCATATCAGAGCGTTTGAAAGAGTTTTACAACAGAACAGTCTCTCTTGCAGATGCAGGGGAAAGGGACATCTCCCTCATGTCTTTTTGATATTCCTTGTTAATTCTGAAGACTTTAGTTTCTAAGTTCCATCTCTGGAACTTCATTAGTTAACATGAAAAGCAAAAAGCAGACTTGATGTGATAATGATAGTGCACCCCACCACTATTACCACCAAAGGGAGTACCACTTTCCCAAAGTAGTTGCAGTTGCATTGGCATAGTGTCCTGGACTTGTAATAACCAAAACAGTTGGGAAGAGGGAGATACGGACGAAACCAGGCAGATCATAATTGATAACTGATGCAGCTAGGCGATGGGCACACGGGGTCCAGGGACCATCCTCTCCACTTCTCCGCATGTCTGAAAGAGTCCATAATAAACAGCAAAAAAGTTAAAAAAAAAAAAAAAAAGCAGACTTGTACAGCTCTATTTTCCCATTAGGCAAAAATGGAGAAAGCGGTAAGATTTCTTTAGACAAAATAAGCAGCAAGTAGCATTAATCTTCCACATAAACAAGGCCACACCTAGAACAAAAGAGAAAGCATATTCAAAGTAACATTATTCTGTTTTTGTTTTGTGTCTGTAGTTTATGAAATCCACTAATGATGAGATAAATTGGACAAAACTTTGACAAAACTTTGGGTACACAACTCCTTTAATTTTTGCTTCTCAGCCCTAGGGAAGGTCCCTCCATTGCTCCCATCACTGAGATAGGCATGCTCTCCTTGCAGCTTCTCAAGGCATTTTTTTCTGCTTTTCCAAGACAATTCACCAGGCACATGCCTTTCTCTAAGTTTTTGCACCGATTCCCCTGCCTAGAACCCTCACTATAAATGTGAGTCAAGGATTCCTTTGCAGGACTTAGAATGAGGTCTTCCATAAGGAAAGGGATGGTAGGGGAGGACAGGTATAAACACAGTCATTCTTCCTCACCTCAGGGACAAAAGGGGGAAAGAGGGCCCAGCTCCGCTTTTACATCTACTGGAAATAACCTAGAGATCCAGAGCAGATGCTGCCCATCCCCACCGCCATGCCCAGGAGAACCTTGAAGTCCCTCATACCGGAGACTAAAGTCTACTCCTATGGGTATTTGAAAGTAGAAGAAAAGAGCAATGGACTGCTGAGAGTAAGAAAGCTGAGAGCTGAGGGCCAGATGATCAGAGGCTACCACAGAGGAAACAGCAGGAAGCACATGGGTTTTAAGGGGCATGAAAAAAATGTCAAAACGAAAGTAAACACTAATCACAGCACTGCTGCCTTGGGGTTTAAGATCAGAGCAGACGCATAGGCATGCAAAGGATTTTCAACTTCACAATTGTAGAGTGAGCCCTGGACACAGGACGAGGGTCTGCCCACTAATCCACTTGGCTTTCTGGTGTCCTCTACTCTCTTCCAGCCTAGAATGTGAGTATTCCTAGCTGTGTGTAGAAAACCATGGTTTCTTTTAGTTGTTCTGTTTTCTGTCTGAGCTGTGATAATATTTAAATTAAAAAAGAGCAAAAGAAAGAAGGGGTTGGGGAGGAACGCAGGGTGGCAGGAAAGGGAGGAAAGAAGGGAGAAATGGAGGCCAAGTAAGAAGAGGTAAGAAATAAAGTCTAGTAGACAGAGGCCCACAGAGCAGAAATCTCTCTTCCACAGCACTGCCACTATGGCACTCTGATCATGTCTTAGAAGGGATAAGAGAAACTGACAAAGGTGCCCAGATTCTCTGTGGGCCCAGTCCCCACCCTCACCTGAAGTCACACCAAAACAACAATGAACAAATGCCCATACATACCAGCCCGCCCATCAGTCTTGCAGTCAGTAGGGTTCCTGGAAAGCTGGGGAGAGCAGGTGTGTGTCTCATGCACTGGCACGGGGCCCGGATCCACAAGCAGTTCTTGAGGTCCTTGTTGACCAGGCAGTCAACTGGGGCCGAGAGCAACCTAGACAAAACTCAACAGCCTAAAAGCGACAGGGCATGGCATAGACCTCGATGAAGGTTCACCAGTAGAAGGGCCCAGAAACAAGACTCATGATGGTAAAGACACATGGCTTACTGCTCCTTGCCCTTAACTTCATCCATGCCCAGCAGTCAAGTGCCATTCTACTGAATGCTGAGCAGGGTGGGTAGTGTGGACCCCACGTGAAAGCCAGAGATAAAGTAGGCAACACCTTAGCTGGTGAGCCCAGACACATGGAACAATATGTTCTGGCTGACAGCCAATACCATGTGCACTGGCTTCATTTTGCAGTGGCAACAGAAACGCTTGCCACAGATGACATACATGGCTGGCATGCACACGAAGCCTAGAAAGTCACTGGCCTTCAAAGAGCAGAGCTTGAGGATGTACTGGTCCCCCTGGAGAATGACTCATGAGTGTCCATGTTTAAGAAAGTGGGAAGGCCAAAGCCAAAAACAGGGTCCAAGCGATTGCAGAGAAAGGCAGCACACATCTGAAGTGTGATTATAAACAGCAGGGGTGAGATCACATAACATGTAACACTAATGTAAAAAAGCAAGAAGGCCATGGAGCGGCAAAAGACCATGATCAAAAAGGCCATATTCTTGTAACTAAAGTCCTAAAGAAGTACAGTGCACAGAGGCCAACATGAAGAGAAGGCAGACAGCCAAACACATGTAGTCAGCTGGGACGGCTGGCAGGAGGTAGTAGGGAGACTTGTGCAGTATCAGTTGGACTGGTTTACCCCAGGCTCAGGGGTCTCCACTGGCTGCTTTGCTGGAACTTGTCTGCTCTCCTTTTCCTTTCCTTTCTCCGCACGAGCCCCTTCACTCAAAAGATAGTACTGCAGGGGATTGGGCCACAGTTCCTCATTGATTATCTCCACAATCTTGTCAGACTCAATGGAGCTGTGGTTTGAAAACCACCCAAAGAAGCTACGGTTGTTTTCTGGGTTTCCCTGGCTTAGGGACTGGAGGTCGTGGCCAGGAAGCCAATGGATTGGAGTAGACCGAGACACCACTTGACCTGAAGGACCACACCCGTATTCCTTGATGAGCACCTTATTTTGGAAATAGGGATTGCGGCCGAAGTAGAACTTGATTTTGTAGCCCAATCTGGCGAGGCCAAGTTCTTCCACCTCCAAGCTGTTCAGGTAGCTGAGGACCTCTTTATCTTGGTTGTTGAGAAAGGACGATAGCTGGGGATGGTTTTGAAACGCCTGCCCCCAGAAGCCCGGGATGTTCTGGATGAGCAGGTTCCTGCGCTCTAGGTGGTGCAGTCGCAACTGCCCAAACTTTCTCGACAGCCGAAGGTAGGCCCTGTCCGCCTGGGCGTTCATGGTCTCCAGCTTCAGCTGCACGGTCTCCAGCGTATCCATGCTGCCTTCGGTCGCCGGGGGCTCCGACCCCGCATCCTTCTCCTCCTTGTCCTCCTCGCCTGGCACCGGGGCACACTCTCCCGCCGGCCCTTTCTTGGGTTTCCCACCGGCTACGGCCTGAGGGCCCCTCCCCACGGCACTACACGTTTCTGGGGCCTTCTTCCCCGCGGGGCCACGCCGAATTCCCCCGCGCGGGGCGTTTTTCGGCCTTCCCACGGTTCCCACCGTTCCCACGAAGACAGTGTCTGCGACCAGGCGCTCCGAGAGAGAGGTGGCGGCCTTCCCCGGACCGGGCCTGGCGGTGGCCTGCCTTCGATCCCCCGCGGCTCGGGCCCGGAGCGCGAGGCCGCAGTCCAGAGGGAGCCCGCAGGCGACCTCCTCACCGGGCTGGAACAGCTGCGCGGGCGCAGCGGTTTCCAGGCTACCCCACCCAGCGCTAGCCTGCACCTGTGCCGCGATGGCGTCCTCCCCGAGCCTCAGGCACCGCGAAGGGTCCGGGTCGCGCGGGGCGTCGTCAGGAGCAGCGCGCACTCGGGCTTTGACGCGGCCTTTGCCCCGGCCTTTGGCACGGGAGGACTTCCGACCCCTGCTTCGGCCGCTCATGGTGGCAGCGGAGGAGGCTTCAAAGCCACGCTGCGACGCCGCGGCTCCTGGCGCCAGCTCGCGGCGCCTACGGAGCGGGCCTTGCCATGGCAACCGCGACGTCACGACCGACCGTACGACTGTACAGTCGCGCGAGGACGGGCTGCGCACGATGATTGGCTCCGCCATTGCGGCTGCGCGCGAGTCCCACCACCCCTCCCCCCACCTCCTCCGGCGCCCCCTCCCATCCCATCTCCCCTTGACTGGCCTCCACTGTTGGAAGGTTTTGCCTGAATGGGACTGGCATGTGCCGCCCTTGAGTCTCTTCCCACTGAGCTCAATCTTGCCCTCGGGGTCTTATTCCTCTTGTGCTAGACAGCCTGAAGACAGCCATCATCTGGTCCCCCAACATCTCTTTTCTAAACATCTTCCGTTCTTTCGGTTATTTCGTGTGACATCTGTCGTGATGAAACTGTCATTGGCCTCTGTGTCTCTTCTTTGAACGCCTTTGCTGAAGGATTTGCTCTGGTACCTTAACTCCATAAAGCTGGGTGCTGTAAGCCAGGCCTCAAAGCGATTTGATACTGGTGGGATGTTAGTAGAAATTACAAAAATAATGGCAACTAGTAGTTTGTGAGCATCATGTGTGCCAGGCACTCTACCAGGTGCTTTAATACATTACTCCAATTCATAAGAGAGGTATTGTTTTCATTTCTGTTTTCCAGATGAGGAAACTGCAGCTCAAAGAGACTAAGGAATATTCCCCAGATTGCACAGTAGGGGATGGAAGCACAATTCAAACCCAAGCCTATGGGACTTCATAACCTATGCTTTATATTCGCAAATGTCTAGTCCTTTCAGGCCTGCTCATCTGTAAATTACTGTGCTAGCTCTTAAGAAAGTTGGCCAGAGCCCAGCAGGTCGAGGCTGCGGTGGCCGGGAGCGGCCACTGCACTCCAGTCTGGGCGACAGAGTGAGACTCCAACTCGGAAAAAAAAAAGAAAGAAAGTTGGCCTTGCTTGTTAACACAAGCTTCAGTGATGCACTCTTCTGCCTAGGAACATCACCCGAGTACTGCAACTGCCTCAGGTCTAGCTTACAGAGCTGGACTGTCAACGTGAGGTGTGAGACCAGAAGAGACGACCATGGATCAGAGCTACTGTAATTGGAGTAAGGCATGATTATGGTCCGAGAGATAAATTATCATTCAGGGAGCAGAGTAAAGTTTCCCAGGTTGAGGTTCAGAAGCAGAACCTCCACAGTGTCAGTGAGGAAACCAGAGAAGCTTCTTACACTCTGCATGGAAGCAGCCCAGACAACCTGTCTTGTGTTCCCAGAGGCAACTCGGACTGTGCATACTAGTCAGGTGACAGGACCATGAAAAGTGAGGGAACCCATGACTAATATAAAGTCTAAAGTAAAACCATTTGTGGTGGTCCTTTCAGGTGCCAAGGGAAAAGAAAGGCCCTTGCAACCAGTTAATGGAGAGATAAGCCCCAAAGCCCCTGGCAGCTTATATCTCTTTACTCTCATTACTCAAAGTATAGTTGTGGACCAGCACCCTGGAATCACCTGAAAGCTTGTTAAAAGATTTGGAATCTCAGACACTACCCCAGAACTACTAAATCAGATCTGAATTTTAATAAGATCTCAGATGATTGTTGTGCACATTGAAGTTTAAGTGTAGAAGAAAGGGAAAAGGAGGAATTATGTTAATATAGGTGGATCCTGTTTTAAGCTAGCCCAATACAAGTGAGTTCTTTCTCAAAAGCTCTACAATAGCCTGCAAGGCCCTACATGATCTGGGAAGTCCCCTCCCTGCCACTACATAAGTTACCTCTCTGACCTTAGTTTCTCTATCCCACCTCCCCTCCAACTACATTGGCCTCCTTGTTGTTCTTGAACTCATTAGGTGTGCTCCTGCCTCAGGGCCTTTGCACTGGCTCTTTATTCTGCCTTAAATGCCCTTCCCCTACATGTGGATATGGTCAGTAGTCTTGATCAGTTCCTTTCATACTTTGCTTAAATATCACCTTCTCGGTGACCATTCTGTTAAAATTGTCACCCATCCCATCCCTCTCACTGCTCTACTTTGTCTTTATTCCATCACCATCCAGTTAATAAGCATAGCAATATAGTTAATAAGCATAGCGAATAATTGGTCTAGTGTGTTGGCTGGTGATAAGTTTCAAAAATGGACTTGTAAATTGATTACCTAAAATTCAGAATACCCCCTTTTCCCCACAGAAACAATGTTATAGATGAAGTCTATATTCTCAGATCAACCCATGGAAACCCACTAGACTCGTAATGTAGCCAAAAAATAATCTTGCTGTGGAATACCATTCAGGGACAGTCCGTAGTTGAAAAATCTAAAGTCACAAATTGAAAAATCAAGTTGGGGGAATTAATATTTGACTTAAAGGGGATTAAGTAGTGCAAAGGTTACCTTAAATTCTTGTTGAAGGTCCTTTCATAATCACTTCTTCCCAAACCCTCCCATGATAACCCTGAACAACAATAAGCAGCTCTGTCCTTGATCTCACGGAGGACTTGTTTATTCAGCAGTTAGATACACATTGTTTTATGCCAGTTCTTGTATAAAATTAATTCTTAAGCTGAATAATCACAGTTTGGCACTCTCTGTAAATCTCAGAAAAATTTTTTAAAAATCAGCTAAAGCAGTTGTCATTCCTCTATAAGCTGAAGACATTGACAGATTGGCCGACTTCTTAGAACACTCACAGATCAACCCATTTCTATTGTCAAGAGCCTTAATCCAGCATCAGTATTTGCATCATTTAATGTTCACCATTGGCTAAACCACTGCAGGATTAACGGAGGCTGGGCCACTGCAAAGTGTTTATTATACAATCTGCCTTGAGCCTTCTTTCACCATGTCAAAGAAGTAAGCATCAAATGAAGAGACACACATGTGAGACTGACACCTTACAGAAAAAGACTCCTCTGGTCCGGGTCACTCTATCCCCAAGTCTTTTGTATTTAGGATGCTGTACCGTGCCGCCGAACTGGACTGTTGGTTTTCTTTTTAGGTATTAATATTTAACTTTATATGGAATGGCAGCTTGGGTTCTCAATTAGATAGGAAACTTTGTATGAGGACTGGACATCTTTTTACTTTTATGTCTCAGAGCACCTAGCATAAATACTTGCACATGCTCATAGTTATATTGAAATTTCACATTTATTTTGTACTTTATATGGGGCCATGTCTTAGCTCATTTAATCCCCACAACCATCCCATGGGGCAGATGCTCCCATCTTGAGGATAAAGTTGCTGCTCCACAAAATGGTTCAGTAACTTTCCTGAGGTCACACAGCTAATAAATGGTTTTTGCCCAAGGGATCTGACTCCAGCAGCATGCTTCCAAGCAATACTCCACAACATAAAATTATGACTGAGAGATTAAATCTCTCTTGGGTGTGTAAAAATATCTTTTAATTTTTGAAAATTACATACATACACAGATATGCATATGTATACATATACACAAAGTACATACATACGTCGGTTAGTCATGATTCATTTATCTATGGGGTATATAATATGCCTGGCATGGTGATACTCAATATAAATGAGTTTAATTTTAACAGCCCATGTTGGGTAGGAAGCATCTCCATTTGCACAGCATTTATCACAGGCATTCTATGAACATTATGCAAGCAAAGCAAGTTTACTATCATGAACTCAGAGATCTGGGGGTATTTTGACCTTTTCCCAATATCTATAAGCTTAAGTCCATGATAACATTTAATCGATTCTTTTTAATGTGATATCCCACCATTAGCAAATATTTATTAAAATATCTGAAAATTGTGCTCTTTCCGTTTATTTGAATATCTGTTTGCTTTGAATTATAGAAATTAATAAGTTGGGAAAAAGACATCTGTCTTCCAGCCTATTTCCAAGCCAAAGAAAAAACATTCCCCACAGTTTTTCTTGTAGAGTTCTAGAATCCCAGACTTGACATTTTTAGCCACAGGGCTTTTCTGTTCTTCCCCAAGGAGATAGTTTGAGTTTGCTAGATGGCAATGAGTATTGCTTACTGTGTGGAATTTTGCCAACCAACCCTCCCAGGTTATGAAAGAGCATAGGAAAGAAGGCAGTGTCGTAAGGAGTATTTTCATAGCCTAGAAGGGAGGGAGAGAAAAATCTGTCATTTATGGTAAATTTCAGGACTATTTGAACATAAACACCTTGAGAAATTTGCCTAGCTTCTTCTCAGTTCCTTCCCAAAGAGCAAAATTTTATAGTAGGCCATCTATGTCATTTCAGTTCGTATTATCTAAGTCGCTATAGAATGTTTTTCTTCCTTCTTGGTATTTCTTTTTTACCCTGCAACATCTTCACCATTAGAAAATCCAAGGCTTTTGTCCCAGGAAAGGGACTATATCAAAGAATCCAGCAAGCAGAATTCAGCAAGCCAAATTATTCACTTTGAATTTCAAAATAGGCTCTTGAGATAGAAAGCTAAAGTAGCATGGAGGGAGAAATATATATATATATTAGCTCTTCAAAGGCAAATCCTGGAGCCCTAAGGGCATAGAGTTTGTAACATAAACCATAGAAGAGGAAGAATGTATGATGATATGTGAGCCATTTCTCTACTACACAAAAAGGAAATAAGACCTTTACTGGTCTGGGGTTGCAGAACTTAAAGAAGATTCAGAGAGTGAATAGTTGGTGAGGGTCTTGAGAAAGGGTTTTCACAGTGGTCCGTCCATGGCATTAAACTCTTGGAGAGTTGGTGGAGACCACCCTGTTTGGATAAGATAGGGACATGAGAGTAGAGAGAATTAGTTCCCAACTTGACAACTGGAACTCAAACAAGAGCTTTTCTCAGAGGGCTCCACACCATCAGAGGGCAGCCAGGACAATATATAAGAGTATGTACAGGGTAAGTGTTGGCAAATCATTAATAAATCAAAAAACAACAGATGCTGGCATGGGTATGGAAAACAGAATATTTCTACACTGTTGGTAGGAGTGAAACTAGTCCAACTTCTATGGAAAACAGTGTGGTGATTTCCAAAAGATCTAAAAATCGACCTTCCATATGACCCAGCAATCCCCCTCCTAGGAATATACCCAAAGGAAC